ATTGCCATTTTATGGGTCAGTGTCCACATTAACTAGTACAGCATCTTTAAATGTTCAATTGTGTATTTATGGTTGCATGCAATGTTACTGCCTTACCATAATACATCCAATTAATCTACCATCCAGTTGTTTTAGCCAACTTTCTATGCATTACTGTAGATTGGTAGCATACTAATGTTTAAGTTACACAGGTGTGTCACTGGGGTCTAAGAAGCTTAAAGAGTCATGGAAGAATAGAAAGCCCATCATATCCAGTGGATCCTGTGGGGGTAAGTGCTACATTTGTTTTTGGGTTTAATACTGCATTAAATAGACTTCCCTGTCCCACAGAACTACATTTGATTGAGAGTTAAGGAGGGCCATTTGAGAAGTTGGCTTTCTATTATGTTTACCATTGGTGTAAAAAAAAAATCCTTGATGAGCTAGATGCAGGGCAAAACACAAATTTAATTTTAACCTTTTCTTTGCACCTTTTCTTTGCGCTTACAGATCTGTCACCCGAATTACAACTAGAAAATAAGTATAGCGCAAATTATACCTTATCGTGCCACTCCAAGCTATGGATGGAAGGAAAACACTACACTTTAAAGTGAGAAGAGGGGAGCATGAGTCCAAGTGATTCCAGTGTCAGCCAATACAAGTGAAGAGTTGAACGCTGCTCAACCAACCCCAGGAGTCCAATGTTGAGGAATGGCCCTAGCCATCATACTAGCCACACCCTCTGACATGTTTTACCCTGCCCACCGGGGCTTGGTCACGGAGGACCTCTGTGACTAAGTCTCAGTGGGTGGGGTGAAATATGTCAGAGGGTGTGGCTAGTAGGATGACTGAGGCCATTCCTCAACAGTGGACTCCTGGGGTTGGTTGAGCAGCATCCATCCCTTCATTAGAAAATAAATATACTTTTGAGTATGAAGTGATAGGCTAATTAGAACCATTACATAGAAAGTCCAACAACTCATAGCTTACAGAGGGCTTTCCTTTTACTACCAGCAGCTGAACAGAATAGCACAGGAATGAACAAGAAGGACATACATACTGCGGAGGAAAGACAAATTAATTTAATATGTTGCTTTTCCCTGTGTGTGCAAAGCACAGATTAATGTTATCATAAGGAGCCCCCCACAATGTGATAGTAGGAAAATATTGGGCTAACACCCAGTTTCACTTCTGATTTTTAAATTCTCCATAATTGGGGTATTAGGATATAATCTGCCTCACTACTCTGATCTAGTTGGTCATTAGGGTGAGATATCCCCCATGATATCTATGTTTACTCTTTATCGTAGGCATCTGTTTCAGCACATATCATAAACTAGCATGGGCCCTGACAACTGACAACAACTTTTTTGTTGCCATTGAGGGTCTCTCCATGGGCCAGGGGGGCTCATTGATTGCCCCCAATTTTTGGATAACATCTGCTCCACGGGGTTCGTAAGGAGAGGAGAATGTTTTTATTATTTGCAGTTCTTTTTCTCCTTCATGCTGTTATGGAAAGTAATTTGTGCATTTAAGAACATTAAATGTAATATGTGTTGTATATATTGTGGGAACTCGCTTCAACGTGGTAGAGCTTTCAAACGCAAACAGCTACTCGCTTTCTTTTTCAGGGCCTTTTTAGCCCACTTTTATTTAAATGAAAGTTCAAACATAATGCTTCCCACGCAGGGGTATCCACCAACAAAACAAAGATTCAGCCTCCTGGCTTACACACAGTTCAATGTCTGTCTCCTGCAGACTCTTCCCAAATTATAGCCCCTAGCACACAGCTAGTCTGGCTTCCACCTCCCCTAGGTGAAGCCCACCTGACTCCTATCTGCTGGGGTGGAGCCCAGAACCCTGGTCCTGACTCTATCTAAAGGCCTGCACACACCTGTGCAATCAGTCTCCTGGCCTATTCCCAACACCTGGTCCCAGAATTGGAGATTTCATCCCTCCCAAATCACTTCGAAATCTCCAGGCTCCAGATCCCAAAATGGACCTTACAAACAAAGGAGGAAAGTGAAAAGCCACTTTCCTCCATATCAAACCTTTACCCTGGAGCCCCTCAACCTGCCTTGTTGAGAATCCAGGGTGACAGATTGCCACACTGTCACAATATTTATGTGATATCTGATTTGAAAAAGTTGTTTCTCTTTGTTGTTTTTTACAGTACAGTGTTTACCATCCAAAAACAATTGTAGTTATATTTGAAGATTAAAGGGTCTTGAGGAAGTGGGTTATCCTCTGAAACATGTAGAATGGCTACTGACCTCACCATACCTGTGACTGAGTCTATTTTGTATTGCATTTTATTGCTTTATAGGCATTTGTAGGCAATTTTAATATGTCATTTTATAATAAAAATATTATTTAAGTTTTAATGCATTTTGTTTACTGATTCTGATTTTTACTATGTAGGGATATTGTAAATATATATATATATATATATATATATATATACAGTGGGGATCGAAAGTTTGGGCACCCCAGCTAAAAATGTGTATTAATGTGCATAAAGAAGCCAAGGAAAGATGGAAAAATTTCCAAAAGGTGTAAACGCTTTTTGTAGTCAGCCAAGAGTCTTTCAATTCTTGTTTGAGGTATCTTTGCCCATTCTTCCTTACAAAAGTCTTCCAGTTCTTTGAGATTTCTGGGCTGTCTGTCACGCACTGCTCTTTTAAGGTCTATCCATAGATTTTCAATTATGTTGAGGTCAGGAGATTGTGAAGATTGTGTAAGATTCTTACAGTATATATGCATATTTGCACACATACACACATATATATATATATATATATATATATATACTGCAAAGTACTGAAGACAGCAAGATCAGTTGATCAGCAGTGCTGGTGGGCGGGGCCTAATTGACTCCACCTCTAGTGGGTGGGACCTAAATGTCTCCAATGTGGTGGGCGGGGCCCAGGGGCGGACTGACAACTCATGGGGCCCCCGGGCAATAGGGGATCATGGGGCCCCTCGGTCCTTGCCCAAACTCAAAAAAGCCTATGAAAAAGGTACAGGGGCATCTCATGGGGCCCCCTACTGACCCTGGGCCCTCGAGCAGTGCCCGAGTTTCCAAAATTGGTCAGTCCGCCCCTGGCAGGGCCTAACTGTATCCACTGTGGTGGGCGGGGCCTAACTGACTGTTTAAAGAAAAAACCAGCTAGCTCTTTGTCATTTCTTCTTGATCCACGCACTGAGCACAAGTGTTTGTGATTGCTCTGCAAAGTGACTGCAGTTAGAAGAGATTTCTTTGATTGATTTGCGTTTATCACCAGTTAAATCAGTGAGACAAATATCAGATCGATTTCTTTGATTGATTTCTGTTTGTTAGTTATAATATCTGCGAGACAAAGATGGGAATGCTGCTGAGAGCATTGATCTTTGTTATTGTTCTGTATCTGGCAACAGGTACATATTTATCTTACATTTTTACATATATATATATTATATATATATATATATTTTTTTTTTTAATTATTACACACACACAGCGAGCTGCACCGGGATGGCAGTAAGAACCGGACAAGAGTTCTATTCCTATTCCCTTCTATTTCCCAAAACTAAAAGGTTATTGGCTTACTTTAACCACCTCCCTCCTGGCCAACAGCCGAATGGCGGCCGGGAAAACGCTCTAGATTTCTGGGTGGACGCCATTTGGCGTCCTCCGGCACATGCGCAGTTTTTTCACGCTTGCAGAGCCGCGCAGCGGCGTGATCTGTAACCGGCTGTGTACCTCAGACACGGTCGATGACAGATCTTAGTACCGGCCCCGTTTGCCCGTACCATGTGACCTACTGTGACCAATCACAGCAGGTCACATGACACTTGTATACAATGGATGGCTTCATTCATGCCATTCCATTGTATACTAGTGTCTAGCTGTGAATGGTCACAGCGATCACATGCACGTCATGTGATTAGCTGTGGCCAAATCACAGCTAAGCACAAAAAAAATCGATTTCAATCAGGTAAATGCTTGCTTATAGCAATGTAAATTCCTTGCTATAAGCAAATTGTGTAAAAAAAAAATACTGATCACTTCCCAAAAGTAGTACAATGTTACTATGGTTACATTTTACTACTTTGGACATAGTGAAATATGAAAAAAAATTTAAAAAAAAGAAAAAAATTTAAATAAAAATTATAAAAATATGTAAAAAAAAATGTAAGAAAAATATATATATTTTTTTTATACTGTCACCAGTCAGTGTCCCTGATCACCGCCATGCCAGTTATATGATGACGCTGTAACTGAAAATGGGTGACAGTATGTAAAACAAAATTGTGAAAATTATTTTTTGCATTTTTTTTTCATTTTCCGAAAAATTATGACAAAAAAAATATAACTTCATAAAAACTCGCCATGCCTCTTATGAAATACATTGGAATGTCTACTCTGCAAAAAGGGGTAATTTGGGGGATATCTGTACTGTTATGATATTCTTGGACCTCAAGAAATTAGATTGGCTGTCAGTACTTCAGGATTGATCAATTTTCAGATATATCCCATAGTTTTTGTGAACTCTAAAATTTCCTACAAACTAAAAAATACATCCTAATTTGGGTTTTTTTCACCAAAGACATGTAGCAGAATACATCTCGGCCTAAATGTATGAAGAACAATTATTTATTTACAAACTTTTATAACAGAAACAAAGAAAAACGTGTTTTTTTTTTCCAAATTTTTTTGGTTTTTTTTGTTAATTTTAGCAAGGGATAAACACCGCAGCAGCGATTAACCACCTCCCATCCGGCCGTTGTATATAAACGTCTGGACGGTGGCAGTGCAGGGTCGGGTGGCCGTTTATAAACGACTTTCCTGGCCCCCTGCTTGTGCGCGCTCCCTGGGAGCGCACAGCACCGTGATCATCAGACGGGACCTCCGTGCGAGGTCCCGATCATGTGATCTCTGGTTAGCCAATCAGTGATCACGTGCAGAGTAGTAAGCAAGATGTCACTTATGACACATTGCTTACTACATGTGAAATCTGTGAATGATCACAGAGGTCACATGGTACAAGGCTATTCACAACAGCCTTGTACCATGTGACAAGCTGTGAGCAATCACGGCTCTCACAGTATTCATCAATGGCTGCAAGAATGCAGCTAGAGAGAAGGAGAAATGATTGCTTTTACAGCATTTTTGTGTGTAAAAGCAATCAGTGTAAAAAGAAAAAAATCTTCACCCCCCCCACAAGTAGTACAGTGACACTGTTACTGGTGACACTGTACTGCTAGGGTGACAGTATGTAATAAATAATTTAATAATATAAAAAAAAAATAAAAATGTAAAAAAAGTGTTTAAAAATAATAATATAAAAGCTAATTTGGGTTATTTTTTTTTTTACTAAATTTATAACGGAATACATTTTGGCCAAGGTTTATGATGAAATAAATATTTTTTTTCAAAATTTTGGACTTTTTAATTTACATAGCAAAAACAAAAATAAAAATGCCAGTGGTGAACAAATACCACCAAAATAAAGTTTTATCTGTCTCAAAAAATGCTAAAAAAATTCATATGGGTACAGTGTTGCATGACCGCGCAATTGTCATTCAAAGTGTGATAGCTCTGATAGCTAGAAATTGCCCTGGGCAGGAAGGGGGGAAAAGTGCCTGGTATGGAAGCGGTTAAGCACTGAGCTATAACTACTTGACATTGGGCAGGTGACAGTTGGCAGTTTTTGAAAACTAGAGTCAGTTTGACCCAGTCTATACCCAGTAACAACGGTAGCACAGTGGTTAGTGTGCCCGTCCAAGAAGTACATGGTCACAGGTTCCAGGCTGGACATGAGATAAACCGTTGTTACATTTTTTGTTTTTTTTGGGGGTTTGTTTTTTTTAATATTCATTTTCTCTCATTTGATCTATTTGGAAAGCCTTTCATGGTCCCAGTACATTGTTCTGGAAGCATGGTGACAAGCCTTATCTTCCCTTACACAGTGAGGGGTGTTTTCTTATTAACTCTTTAAATAAAAAAAAAAGTGATATTTTTTTTTAATTTCAGCTGCCTTTCAGTGTCACCTATCAGTGCTTCCAGTCAGTGCCACCTATCAGTGCTTCCAGTCCGTGCCGCCTAACAGTGCCAGTCAGTGCCGCCCATCAGTGCTGCCTTTCAGTGCCCATCAGTGATGCCTGTCAATGCCCATCAGTGCCACTTACCAGTGTCTCCTCATCAGTGCCACCTATCAGTGTCCATCACTGCAGCCTCATTAGCGCACATCAGTGAAGGAGAAAAAAAATCACTTCTTTACAAAATTTTATAACAAAAACTAAGAAAAAACTTTTTTTCCCAAATTTTGAGTGGTTTTTGGTTTGTTTAAAGAAAAAATAAAAAACCCAGAGGTGATTAAATACCACCAAACAAAGCTCTATCTGTCACAAAAAAAAAATGATAAAAATGTCATATGGGTACAGTGTTGCATGACCGCGCAATTGTCATTCAAAGTGTGACAGCGCTGAAAGCTGGAAATTGGCCTGGGCAGGAAGGGGGTATCAGTGCCCTGTAGGCTAGTGGTTAATAAAAGCAAAAAAAACCCCAGTTGATCCTGCCAGAAATCTTATCAGCTCATAAGTCCTGGCCTGGACTGAACGGAGCTAAGGGAGGGCCAGCATGACTGTTTTTTTGCAAACGAGGCGGAGATTTTGGATTTGAGTGGGAGGATATTCAGTAGGTCTTTTTTTGGTTACTCACCTGATTGGAGTATTCGAGTTTGAGGGTGGTCTTTCCAGGATGAGGAGAGGGGTTTTTTTTTTTTTTTTTTTTTTTTTTGTTTTGTTGTTTTGTTTTTTTTTGGTTTTATCTGTCAGTTAATATTTGATTGTACTGTATGAAGTGTTGAGTAAGAGTTATGTTAACCCGTTGCCGCCCGGCCTATAGCCAGATAGCGGCCGGGTGAACAGCTCATCCCTCCGAGTGGACGCCATATGGTGTCCTTTCCAGAGCGCGCATTGCACATGCCCACAGGGCCGCGCTGCGGCGCGAATCTGTCACTGGCCGTGTACCTCGGACACGGCCGATGACAGTTCTGTGTACCGGCCCCGTTGCCAGTACCATGTGACCTGCTGTGACCAATCACAGCAGGTCACATGACGTTTGTATACAATGGATGGCATGTAAGGAAGCCATCCATTGTATACAAGTGTGTCTAGCTGTGAATGGTCACAGCGATCACATGCACAAGCTGGGCCAATCACGTGTCATGTGATTAGCCGTGGCCAAATCACAAAAAAAAAAACCCTGAATGAATCGATTTCATTCAGGTAAATGCTTGCTTATAGCAAAGTAATTGTTTGCTATAAGCAAATTGTGTGAAAAAAAAAAAATACTCATCACTTCCCCAAAGTAGTACAATGTTACTATGGTAACATTATACTACTTTGGTCATAGTGAAATATGAAAAAATAATCTTAAAAAAAGAGAAAAAAATGTAATAAAAAATAATAAAAAAATTATCACTTTTTTTTTTCGTACTGTCACCAGTCAGTGCCCCCGATCACCACCATGCCAGTTATATGATGACGCTGTACTGCACTGGTGACAGTATGTAAAAAAAAAAAAAATTGTGAAAATCATTTTTTTAATTTCTTCATTTTCCAAAAAATTATGACAAAAAAAAAATTACAACTTCATAAAACCCGCCATGCTTGTTATGAAATACCTTGGACTGTATACTTTGCAAAAAGGGGTCATTTGGGGATCTCTGTACTGTCCTGACATTCTTGGACCTCAAGAAATTAGATTTGGCCATCAGTACTTCAGGATCGACCAATTTTCAGATACATCCCATAGTTTGTGAACTCTATAACTTTCCTACAGACTAAATAATAAATACTAATATTTGGTTATTTTCAGCAAAGAAATGTAGTAGAATACAGCTCGGCCTAAATTTATGAAGAACAAATATTTATTTGCAAAAAATTTTTATAAACAGAAACAAAAGAAATGTGTGTTTTCAGTCTTTTTTTTGTTAATTTAGCAAAAAAATAAAAACCCCAGCGGTGATTAAATACCACCAAACGAAAGCTCTAGTTGTGTGAAGAAAATGATAACATTTTAGTTTGGGTACAGTGTTGCATGACCGCGCAATGTCATTCAAAGTGTGAGAGCGGTGAAACATGAAAATTGGGCTGGGCAGGAAGGGGGCAAAAGTGCCCGGTATTGAAGCGGTTTAAGCAACTATTTTTACTAAATGAAATTGAGTTTGGTTGTGATTAGCTCTGATTGATCATGTGTGTACCATGTGATCACCGTGACCAATCACAGTTCACAACACAATTAAACACAGTGAATGGGCTGCTATGGCCGTTTTTTTACACCAAAAGGAGAGTCGCGTGGTTATTTCAGGTGGGAACCTGAAACCCCCAAACATTCAGGGAGCGCGCACAAACAGGGAGCGGGGAGGACATTTATAAACGACCACCTGCTCCCGCACTGCTCCCGTCTGCACGTTTATATACATGGGCCGGATGGGAAGTGGTTTAGCTATAAGCAATCATAATGTGCAAGAAAAAAATCCTGACTTCTCTAGAGTAGTATAATGTTACTATGGTAAACATATTGCTCTGGTCACAGTGTGGTAAACAAAATGATAAAAAAAGAGAAAAAAAACCCAAAAATTGTGAATATTTGTTTTTTAATTTCTTAATTAAAAAAAAATTGTCTCTTACTAAATACCTTGGACTGTCTGCTTTCCAAAAAGCGGTCATTTGGGGGATATTTATACTCTCTTGGCATTTTTGGGCCTCAAGAAATGAGACGGGCTGTCAGTATATCAAGACTGATCGATTTTCATATATGTGCGCTTTGCCCGATCACCCTCCCTGCCCACATCCTATTCACCCAGCTGCCTGGGCCCCCCTGCTGGCCTGGGCCCCATACAGGAGGACTGGTGGTACCCCCTTATCCACAGCCCTGGGTACAGTGTAGCATGACCGCGAAATTGCCAGTTAAAGTAAGGCATTGGCAAACAGCACAAAATGGCCTGGTCTTGAAGGGGGTAAAATCTTCCGGTGGGCAAGTGGTTAATATGGATGGCGTCTTAGGCTTGGTTCACACTAGTGCAGCCCGCGTCTCCGCGGACATGGCGGCCCATTTATTTGAATGGGTTGCTATGCCAGCGTTTCACGCAAGAAAAAAGGTGCATGCAAAAACGCATCTGCAGGGAAGCTGCACGGTCTTTTTGATCTTGTGGTTTCCCTGCGGTTCCCGCACCTGCAATCGTGTTGTGGGCTGAGATGCGCGGGGGTGCCATTCGGAATGAATGGCAGCCCCGTGCGTCTTGTAAGAGCAGAGCGATTCGGCTGTGGGTGGTTGCGGGTGCAGGAGATGATGCGATTCCCGAACCCACAACCAGAACGCACAGGTCGGGCTAGTGTGAACCCAGCCTTACAGGGGAGGGGGACATAGCAAGGAGGGTGGAGGGGGGGAGGTAACAATAGTGTACACTTAGAGGAGATATTATGCGGGGGCAGGGGTAAGAGGATACGTGTTGGGGGGGTGCTTTGAGAGGGGAGAGGACTTATGCTAGAATGAGGGGGGTTGGATCTTGAAATCCCCCCACCCCACCTTCTAACACAAGTCCTCTCCCCTCTCAAAGCAACCCCCCCCCCACCAGCGCATATCTGACCCCCTCCTCACCCCACCTTCTAGCATAAGCCCTCTGCTCCCCCAGCATATAAATCAAAGCCTGGCCTTTGTTTAGCCATGCCCCATAAGGCCCACCCACTGTAAAGGTTTACCACGCCCACTCTCGCAGCGCCACGCTATGCGCATCGCAGGTCTCTGCCTCCCTCAAGTATATAAATATTTTTTTGTAGAGAGAGTTAAAAATTAAAAAAATATAAAGAAAGAGAGAGATTTTTTTTTTAAATCTATATATATATATATACTATGTGTATGTAGCAGCAAGATCTGTTGATCAGCGGTGCTGGCGGGCGGAGCCTAATTGACTCCCACTGTGGGGCCTAACTGGCTCCACTATTGTGGGCGGATCCTAACTGAATGTTTTAAGAAAAAACATCCTGCTCTGTGTCATTTCTTCTTGATCCACGCACTGATCACAAGTGTTTGTGATTGCTCTACAAAGCGATTTCTTTGACTGATTTGCGTTTATCACTTGTTAAATCAGCGAGGCAAATATCAAATCGATTTCTTTGATTTCTGTTTGTCAGCTATAATATCTGCGAGACAAAGATGGGAATGCTGCTGAGAGCATTGATCTTTGTTATTCTGCTGCATCTGGCAACCGTTACATATCGATCTTACATTTATTTATTTCAGGTACTTATATAGCACTGTCAATTTACGCAGCACTTTACATGTATATTGTACATTCACATCAGTCCCTAACCCTCAAGGGGTGTACAATCTAAGGTCCCTAACTCTCATACACATACTAGGGCCAATTTAGACGGGATCCAATTAACCTATCAGCACGTCTATGGAGTGTGGGAGAAAAACCCACAAAGGCACAGGGAGAACATGCAAACTCTATGCTGGAGGCACCATGGTCGAGAATCGAACCCATGACCCATTTATTACAAGGCAGATGTGCTAACCACTAAGCCACTGTGCCATTTTTACTAATGAGAAAAAAAAATATATATAGAGAGAGAATGATTTTTTTTTTTTTAAATCTACATAGTTGATATATGTATACAGTATATACCAGTGATGGCGAACCTATGGCACGCGTGCCAGAGCTGGCACGCAGAGCCATCTCAGTGGGCACGCCAGGAAGAAGAGGATGATGAGCGCGCATGGACCGGCCATCCAGATCTCGTCCACACTGGATCCCATCAAACTACATTTCCCACATGTCTCTGGGGCCAGGGTGGGCGTGGACGAGAGGAAACGGCTCCAATGCGGCTCTGGCACCAGGGGTGATGTACCCGGGGATGAGAGGAAGAGGCTCCCACACTGCTCCCACACTGCTCCAGGGCCAGGGGCAACGTGTTCAGCGTGGATGGGAATGAGCTGCTGGGTTGGAAGCCACACCGACGCTGCCAGAGGTGAGATTGCTTGCAGTGTCATCCATCAGTGCCCAGCAGTGTCGCCTGTCAGTGCCCAGCAGTGTCGCCCATCAGTGCTGCCCATCAGTGCCATCCATCAATGATGCCCAGCAGTCCCATCCATCAGTGCCCAGCAGTGTCGCCTGTCAGTGCTGCCCAGCAGTGCCACCTGTCAGTGCTGCCCAGCAGTGCCACATGTCAGTGCCCAGCAGTATCGCCCATCAGTGCTGCCCATCAGTGCCACCCATCAATGATGCCCAGCAGTGCCATCCATCAGTGCCCAGCAGTGTCACCCATCAGTGCCCAGCAGTGTCGCCTGTCAGTGCTGCCCAGCAGTGCCACCTGTCAGTGCTGCCCAGCAGTGCCACCTGTCAGTGCCCAGCAGTGTCGCCCATCAGTGCTGCCCATCAGTGCCACCCATCAATGATGCCCAGCAGTGTCATCCATCAGTGCCCAGCAGTGTCACCCATCAGTGCCCAGCAGTGCCACCTGTCAGTGCTGCCCAGCAGTGCCACCTGTCAGTGCCGCCCAGCAGTGCCACCTGTCAGTGCCCAGCAGTGTCGCCCATCAGTGCCACCCATCAATGATGCCCAGCAGTGCCACCCATCAGTGCCGTCTGTCAATGCGTCCAGGTAGGCAAGTGGTTAATTGCAGTGTTGGCACTTTGAAATAAAAAAGTTGGTTTGTGTTGCAGTTTTGGGCACTCGGGCTCAAAAAGGTTCGCCATCACTGGTATATACTGTATGTGGTGTATTCTCACATTCTTGAACAGGCCAGCATAGGACTTTTTACACAACAACAGCAGCCAAGGACTCTTTGCTATGTTAATTTTATGCAAGATCACCTGGGCACTCAGGGCCAACTTGTAACATTTCAGAGGAGGTAATTTGCAAACTTGCAAGGGTGATAAAATGCAGATAGCTCAGTCAGACTTGAAAGGACTACTATCAGATTAGTTTAAGAAATATCTGGGCAACTTTAATTAGAATTATGACTGCAGCTGTCCAAGCCCAAAAGGCATTACCTGTCACCCAGAAGATCAAAGGGGCCCCTAAAAGTGGCCAATCAGAGTGCTTGCCATACTACTGAATTGGGAGAATGTGTATATGAGGAGTTTCTTTTTGTCATTAATGTGGGGGAGCACAGGTATAGATCATAACTCATATTATTGCATGCATGGAAGCTACCTAGGTGCATATTATAGGTTGGCCATATGCTGGACGGTGTAGTATCTCCATGCTTGATATGAAGTATCTTAACCACTTGCTGTCCGGCCGCTGTATATAAACGGCGGTGGCAGTCCAGAGGCAGGTTGTCGTTCATAAACAGTGCCCACCATTTTGGACTGCAATCCAGTGCCCGCTGTGTCCTCCGGACACAGTGGAACACCGATCATCGCACGGGACCTCTGTGCGAGGTCCCGATCATGCGATCACTGATTAGCCAATCAGTGATCACATGCAGAGTAGTAAGCAAGATGTCAGTTCTGACATCATTGCTTACTACGTGTGAAATCTGTGAATGATCACAGAGGTCACATGGTACAAGGCTATTCACAACAGCCTTGTACCATGTGACAAGCTGTGACCAATCACAGCTCACACAGTATTTCTCAATGGCTGCAAAAATGCCAGATGGGAGAAATGATTGCTTTTACAGTCTTTATGGGTGTAAAAGCAATCAGTGTAAAAAAAAAAAATCTTCATCACCCCCCACAAGTAGTACAGTTTCACCATGGTGACACTGTACTGCTAGGGTGACAGTATGTAAAAAAAAAAAAAAAAAATATATATATATATATAAAAAATAAAATAAAAATGCAAAAAAGAAAAACACTTTTTTTCTAAATTTTTGGACTTTTTCATTTATATATGTTAAAAAAAATAAAAGTCCCAGTTGTGAATAAATACCACCAAAATAAAGCTTTATCTGTCTCAAAAAATGCTAAAAAATTCATATGGGTACAGTGTTGCATGACCGCGCAATTGTCATTCAAAGTGTGATAGCGTTGAAAGCTGAAAATTGGCCTGGACAGGAAGGGAGTAAAAGTGTCTGGACTTAAAGTGATTAAATGGGACTCTGAGGGCTGTTGTTGATTGTAACATTTACAAGTATTCAGCTGCGTTTCTGTCATCTGTTGCAAATATCTTTATCTGAATAAATTAATCTCTATGGAAAAAGAACTGGTGAACTAGTTGCTGCGGGAAAAGTACATTTATAAATATATACATCATCATTCATCCTCCTTTATTAATATAAGACAACAGATTTGTCTTATGAACTGTTTCCGTGTGGACCTCATAATTGATAAGACAACACACTAATGGAAGCATAATCAAAGTCATGAAGGACATTCATGTTGTAGTATATAACTCATCAGATATCAAAGTATTAAAGGTCTGAAAGTAGCTGATATCTATTATCTACCACATTTTCCAATTTAGGTGCACAGACGCCAAAATTCATGTTGTGTGGAAGTGTTGCGTGGACGAAAGCAGTCTAATAGTGAACCTGTATTGGT